TGAGTAGTCTACGGTATATTCGGTTGTATATACTGAGTCGTCTATATTGGGTCGTATATACTGAGTCGTATATCCAGGTCGTATATACTGAGTCGTCTATATTGGGTCGTATATACTGAGTCGTATATCCTAGGTCGTATATAGTGAGTCGTATATGCTAGGTCGTATATACTGAGTCGTATATCCAGGTCGTATATACTGAGTCGTCTATATTGAGTCGTATATACTGAGTCGTATATCCAGGTCGTATATACTGAGTCGTCTATATTGGGTCGTATATACTGAGTCGTATATCAGGTCGAATATACTGAGTCGTCTATATTGGGTCGTATATACTGAGTCGTATATCAGGTCGTATATACTGAGTCGTCTATATTGGGTCGTATATACTGAGTCGTATATCCAGGTCGCATATACTGGAGTCGTCTATATTGGGTCATATATGCTGAGTCGTATCAGGTCGAATATACTGGGTCGTCTATATTGGGTCGTATATACTGAGTCGTATATCAGGTCGTATATACTGAGTCGTCTATATTGGGTCGTATATACTGAGTCGTATATCAGGTCGCATATACTGAATCGTCGTCTATATTGGGTCGTATATACTGAGTCGTATATCCAGGTCGTATATACTGAGTCGTCTATATTGGGTCGTATATACTGGAGTGGGCATTATATCAGGTCATTATATACTGAGTCGTCTATATTAGGTCGTATATACTGAGTCGTATATCAGGTCGCATATACTGAATCGTCTATATTGGGTCATTATATACTGAGTCGTATATCAGGTCATTATATACTGGGTCATTCTATATTGGGTCGTATATGCTGAGTCGTATATCAGGTCGTATATACTGAGTCGTCTATATTGGGTCGTATATACTGATCGTATATCCTAGGTCGTATACTGGAGTCGTCTATATTGGGTCGTATATACTATGAGTCGTATATCCAGTCATTATATACTGAGTCGTCTATATTAGGTCGTATATACCGAGTCGTTTATCTGAGTCGTCTATATTGAGTCGTATATCCTGGTTGTATATCCTCAGTCGTATATCCGGGTTGTATATACTGAGTCGTCTACTGTATATTCGGTTGTATATACTGAGTAGTCTACGGTATATTCGGTTGTATATACTGAGTCGTCTATATTGGGTCGTATATACTGAGTCGTATATCCAGGTCGTATATACTGAGTCGTCTATATTGGGTCGTATATACTGAGTCGTATATCCTAGGTCGTATATAGTGAGTCGTATATGCTAGGTCGTATATACTGAGTCGTATATCTTCTGTATATACTGGGAGACCTTAACTTGGGTATATCTCATTCTGTTATATAAACGAATAGAATAATCTGATCATGTCTTCGTCCTCCTCCTCCTCCTTTCTTCCTTCACTCTTTTCATTATCAGGACCCAAAGAGAAAGAGAGAGACAGAGAGAGAAAGAGAGAAAGAGAGAGCAAAATTTTTTTCCCCTTAGGTAATGAAAACCGCATCGGTAATTGGAGAATCTCTCTCTCTCTCTCTCACACACACAATTGATAATGGAGTGAAACATATGATGCCCCTCCATCATACCGTTAGTCTTAATTACCAGTGAGGGAGATAGGGAGAAATATAGAGACGAGGAGATACTCGGGAACTTCGTGTTTTCTTTTTCCTTGTGGTTATCAGCATATATATATATATATATATGGGAGATAAAGAGAGACATACAGAGGAGATGAGGGAGGAGTCGAGGAGATGAAAGGAGAGGTGGGGGAGATGAAAAGATACACAGAGGGGGAGAGATGAGTTGAGAGACAGAGAGATATATCGGGTGAATGAAGGGAGAGAAGACACTAGAGAAGGGGGAGACGCCATTCTGCTCGCGCCATTAACCAACACCATAATGTTCCACAACACTCCTCCGTCCATCATTAATCCACCCATTAGTTCACTGTTTTACTTCACCATCAACCCATTTATCTACCCATAAATCTACCCAAGAACTCAACCATCATTCAACCCAGAAAGCATGTTCTATGACACACTCTACTACTACTACTACTTTGCTGTCACTCTGAATCGAGTATGACGATCATCCAGCTATGATACAATGATATGAGTTATTAAGGATGTCACCTAGGTTGGTGAGTTCTGAGGTGACTAAAGAGGCCGATACAAGACCGGCAGGTTAGTTCACAGATGTTGCACATGTGGAGGGCTACATCTAGTGCGGGAGGTGGGGCGGCAGCGTCTTTCCGGCGTTGGTGTTTGTCTGCCTCGGTTTGCAGTCAGGCTAATTCGAAAGTATTGGCACCTTCTTGTGTGGTGCTCCTCCAAGCGTTAAAGTGTGGAATAATCGTCTCCCAGGTGAGGGGGTCGATTTGGTACTTTTTCAGGTTTGTCTTAAGACTATCCTTATACCTTTTCAGTTGCCCGCCAGCATTACGTTTACTGTTCGTTAGATAACTGTAAAGTAGCTGCTTTGGCAATCTAATGTCGTCCATGTGGGTAATGTGGCAAGACCAGCATAGTTGTTCCTGGTTAATGGTAGCCTTGATGCTCCTACACTTGGTGTTAGCAAGAATACTGCCATTTGTTCTCTTGTCTTCCCAGCGAACTCTGAGGATGGAGCATAGACTACGGCGGTGATAGTTTTCAAGTGCCTTGGCCCATGTCTCGCTGCCATATAGCAGGGTTGGGAGGACCACTGCTCGATATACGTGCAACATTGTAGATAATTTCAGCTCCCTGCAGCTGAAGAAACGGGTACGGTGTCTGCCAATGGCATGAGTTGCACATCTGATCCGATGTTGAATCTCTTCATCGATGTTCGCGGTGGTGGACAGGTGGGAGCCGAGATACTGAAAGTGGGTAACATTAGAGAGGATAGTACCATTAAGCTGGATGGATGGTGGAGGTGTGGCTGTACCAGAGACAGGCAGAAAGAGAACCTGAGTCTTACGTACATTCACCTCAAGGCCGAAGTGTGCCTACGCATCTGCATAGGTGTTCACGATCTCCTGTAGGTCGTGTTCAGCGTGAGCGACAAGAGTGAGGTCGTCATCATACTGAAATTCAGTAATGGAAGCTGTCGACTCCTTTGTTCCTGCCTGGAGTCGTCTTATGTTGAAAAGCTCCTTCATCCGGTACTGGATGTTCACCCCGCCGGCTAAATTGGCACTGGCACGAGTAAGGAAGGCAGCCAAGAAAATGGAAAAGAAAGATGGTGCCAGTACACACCCGTTTGGATGGGGAAGAACTCGGACTGGGTGCCATTGTGCAGGACACTGCCGTTCATGCCATCATGGAGTTGCCTCATGATAGTGATGAATTTTGGTGGGAAGCCAAAACGGCTGAGGGTCCACTAGAGGGCCTCCCTGTTGAGCGAGTCGAAGGCCTTGATTAGGTCGATGAAAGCCATGCACAGGTCACGATGCTGTTCTCTGCACTTTTCCTATATCTGGCAGGCAGCAAAGATCATGTCAGTGGTGCCACGTGATGGTCTAAAGTCACATTGAGATTCTAGGAAGAAGTTTTCTGCCTCAGAAAGAAGTCTGTTTGGGAGGACCCAGGCGATAATCTTGCCAGTTATGGACAGCAGCGAGATCCCGCGGTAATTGCCACAACTTGTGGGATTTACTCCTTTTCCCATATATTTTCCAGGAGAGAGTGGAGACGGCTGGTAAGCAGAAGTCTTCCTGCATTATACACCTCGCCTGGGATTCCATCAGGCCCTGAAGTTTTGTTATTTTGCATCTGTTTGATGGCAGTAGCTACCTCATCCAGGGATGGAGGATAGCTGAGTTGGATGAGCTCTGGATGCTAAGGGACCTGCTGGGTAGTCAGGATATCCACATCAGGGTTTCGGTTGAACAGCGAATGGTAGTGCTCTTTCCAGCGCTGACGGATGCCTTCTTCATCTTTAATTAGGGAGTTAGCATCTGGTGAGCGAAGGGGGAATGTGCCATGAGTGATTGGCCCTTAAAATGGTTTAGTAGAATTGGAAAATTCGCGCATCTTGTGTTGATCTGCAAGTTTTTGCGCTTCATATGCTTTATTTTTAAACACACACTCACACACACACACACACACACACACACACACACACACACACACACACACACGCCAGAAGTGTTTACATGATTGACTATTTATTGAACCTACTTGAGCTTAATTGAACCTAAATTGAAAATGCAGATTGGAAGAGACAGATAGAAAGACAGACAGAAAGAGAAACAGAGGAAAAGAAAGAAACAAACAAAGAAAGAAACAAACCAACAAACAAAATGAGACAGACAGACAGACAGATAGACAGAGAGACAGACAAACAGATAGACGGACAGACCACACCCTCCCTGTTTTCACACCATAAAGTTATTACTGATAAACGTAACGACAGAACCTTCCCATAATGGTCCGGGTCTCAATTTACTTTTACTACAGACGAATGTGAATTATGTGGGTGTACCGCAGACCAGAGCAACAAGTCTTGTATACCCGAGACTCATACCCGAGACTCATACCCGAGACTCATACCCGAGACTCATACTCGAGGCTAATTTGATTACATTACACATGTGCAGGAAGCCATAACGTGGACACTAAATGCAAACTTATTCAACCTTACCTAACCTAACCTTATCTAACCTAACTTGATTTAACCTAACTTTATCTAGCGTAAACCTATCTAACTTATTAACCGAACTTATTTTAGACTAGCATAACATAACCTAACCTAATCAAAACCTGACTTTACCTAACTTGACCCAAATTAATCTGTGTCACTCAGTTTCACTCCCGTCACTCTTCTCCTTCTCTCCAAGGCTCCATCTACCGTCACTCAAAGTCACTCCTTCCTTCCCCTACATCCCTTTTCCCTTTAACGTCATTCTTCCTATTTTCCTCCCCTTAGCGTTACTCAGCATCACTTGACGTCACTTCCCTACTCCCACTATATTTTTCTTCTCAATTACTTCCCCCTTCACTCAGCGTCACTCACCAACCACAGTGAGCCAGACGACCTTAGACATGGGCGGGGTGGTAGAGATTTGACACTCGTAGGCCCCGGCGTCTCTGTGTTGGGCGTAGTGGATCTTCAGTAACCAGTCCTCTGACCCGGGCTGGTGGACTGACCTGAATCTGTCGTCACTGGTGTAGGTGAAGCGACCCACCGTCAGCAGATGTAGGTCACGACTCCGCATCCACGAAACCTGTGTGAGAGAGATGCAGGTGTTGTTTACTGTCAGTAGGTGTAGATGATCTATAACACCTGTGTGAGAGAGATACAGGTGTTGTTTACTGTCAGTAGGTGTAGATGATCCACGACACCTGTGTGAGAGAGATACAGGTGTTGTTTACTCTAGCAGGTGTAGATGATCTATAACACACGTGTGAGAGAGAAAGATGCAGTTGTTGTTTACTGTTAGAGGTGTAACTCATCCACGACACCTGTGAGATACACGTGTGTAATCTACTGTCAACAGGTGTTCATCAACCTCTTACATTAAAAGAGGTTCACAAAGTCAGTCCGCACGTTTAAAACTTCAGCGAATCTGTATTTATAGATATAATCCGGACATGACTTTTAAAAGGGGTTTTAGCATCATTACTGCTTTCAACAGGACCGCCATGGTACATATTCATACAGGTTACAGAAGCAGTAAGTTAAACACCGCAGAATAACACAGTGGAGTTTTGTGTTATGTTACGTGTTAATTTGTCGTTTGCTCTTTCTTTCTTTCTTTTTCCCTTTCTTTCTATTTCTTTTATATTTCTCTCCTCTCTATTTCCTTTTCTCCGTCTTTTTCTCTTTCTGTCTTTCTATTTCTCTCCTCTTCTATTTCTTTCCTCTTCATTTATATCTCTTTTTCACTTCTCTTTCTTCAATCTCTTCCTTTCTTATTTGAAATTTAAATATCAATTATATCTGAACCCTGAAATACTTAATTATTACATTCAAAAGCGTACACAGACTTCATAAACCCCGTGTATATGACCGAATCCTCTTAAGAGTCGAACCCTCTTATCAGGTAACACCAGCTGGCGGGATACCAGCACACCAGGTATTTTGTATCATTTAATATACAATGAAAAATTATATATACAGACAGAAAGAGAAACAGAGAGAGAGAGAGAGAGAGAGAGAAGAGAGAAGAGAGAGAGAGAGAGAGAGAGAGAGAGAGAAGTATCAAAATTCCAGTTCAAGACCGTAAAAATACCCGGTACAAAACCTTTAATGCGGTATTATTCAAGACTGTCCTTCAGGTAATAAAATCTTGTGTCAGAAAATCCATTAAATTATTAGTAGTTAAAGTGGAGTGAGTGTGGCACTTAAGATGTGTGGTTATAAGTGGCCAGGGCATTTAAGTAGAGGCTGCAAGTATACAAGAATGGTAATAAATGTATGACATACATGCATACATAGCTATACTACTTATATGTAAAAATAGACCTTAATATACATACATACATACATACATAATGTAGTTAAACTAGCATGCACACACACACACATATACACATAGAACAAATACTTACATACACCCGGAACACAAGGAAATATATATTAATGCAAACACACATACGATTACACATATAAATACACATACACAAAACGTACACATCTGTCAGTACCCACACACCATTAAGTAGACTAATCGGAGTACAGACAAACACAGACACACAGACAGAAAAACAGACATACAGAAAGACAGATACACCTTCTGTCATGTAACTATTGTCATCTTCTCGCCAGACAATAGACAAAGCCAAGATAGACAGAAAGACACGATTACCATCTTTCACCTGACCAAAAGACAGACAAACACCTTTACTGTCTTACCCTCACAGAAACAGACTGACAGACAAACAGACACACTTAACGTCTTGGCCCCATAGACACACACACACACACACATTACCGTCTTGCCTCCAAGGTATTTGATGCGACAGTTAAGCACCGCCGTCTTCCCCAACTGAGCCGTAATATTCTTAGAGTTAGTCTCGTCTATCGAAGGTCCGCTCAAAGGTATGTACTTCCAGGCCACCTCCTCCTGCGTCTCCTCCAGGCTTTGATGATCTCCGCTTCAGTGCCTCCGTCTACTGTAAGGGAGAGAGAGAGGAGAGAGGATGAGAGAGAGAGAGAAAGAGAGAGAAAGAGAGAAAAGAGAGAGTACAAAAAAAGTTAGTGTTGGAGTAAGAAGGAAAGGGGGAGCTGGGGTAGGTGGTGGTGTTAGTGAAAGAGAGAGAGAGAGAGAGAGGCCGGTCAAGGCAGGTCAAGGTCTGTATGAATAATGAAAGACCTCCAGAAACAAGTCTCGACAAGGTTTACTGAATGGCCGTATAAGTGGAGTTAGTAATCATAGAAGATATGTTCTACTCTATAATCCACTGCCTCATTCTACTGAAGAGGAGGGTGGGAGCATAAAGTGAAACCCACATGTTTGCGGGTATGGCGTGTTGTGATTGATCTTTCATAGTCCTCTGTTACGGCATCAGGGTCTATGGCGAGCGTTGATTGGTGATTGTTCATGATGACGGTTGTTGGTGTACTACTTGTGGGTGTCTTATTTAACCTATTGTAACATAATCTAACCTGTTTTAACCGAATTTTACCATACTTAGCCTTCTAACCAAACCTATTATAATCTAACATATCCTAACCCTAACTTGACCAAGCCTAACGTAACGTAACCTAACCTAACCTAACCTTATCCTCAACCAATCAACAGGACGGACACGAACTGAGGTAATGGCATTCAAGAAAGAGCCAATCAGCGCCCGGCAAAGCCCTGGTACGCGTGGTTTGCTTACTCACCCTACAGAGGGACAGGGTGTGTGTGTGTGTGTATATATAGGCAATACAAAAGATATAATAACGATGGGGAGGAAAAGAAGAGAGAAATGATAAAGAAAGAAAGAGAAACGTATAGAAAGAGTGAGTTTGTTCACTGTTAGGTTTGAGATAGAGCCGAGAGAGGGGAGGAGGGGCAGAGAAAGTGCTTTCTTTCTTTCCTTCTCTTGTTCACTTTAAATTTTCTATTCTCCTCTCATTCAAATTCCTCTCTCTCTCTCTCTCTCTCTCTCTCTCTCTCTCTCTCTCTCTCTCTCTCTCTCTCTCTCAAAAGGTTCAAGTTATAACTAAAACCCTATAATATATACACACAGTATTGATGTACTATTTAATCAATGTTACAAGTAAATTATATATTAATAATTTATATATGTACACGTTACTAAGGTAAATACCGTTATTAAGGTGTTAGTAAGATGTTACCGTTTTAGGTGTACAAGGATTTACTGTTACAAAGGTGACACTAAAGTGTTACCGTTACTAAGATGTTACCTGTGGTAATTGGCAGGAGGCAGCAGACAACGGTGGTGGCCAGGTAACTCCTCAACACCTGTAATAAATAGAACACTTTTATTTCTGTATCTATAGTCAAATATACATAAACTTAATACAGTATTTATAGATCATGTTTAACAGATATGTATAGCTGATGTAGTGAGACGATCATGTATACATAATGATCATTTATGTGTGACGTTTTAATAAAGATGTATTAATAAGGTATATTATATGGGATGAAATGTATACAATGCCCATATGTAACTATACATATATGTAATTATGTATAATATATGTATAGATAGAGCAATACATGAACAATTATGGATAAACTTGCTCAATATGTAATAATATTCAATACAAAAGAGTCCGAGTCTCCTTCAGAACGAGTCAGTAGCTAAATGAATGAAATGATGCAGCACCAGCAGTGTTGGGATCCTGAACTACACACCTGTGAAGTATTCTTGGTTATAATGTTCCTTACCTGAGGATGTTATACACATTTCCTCTAACATTCCGTTCTGAATATAAGAACAAACACATAATTCCTCTCTCTCTCTCTCTCTCTCTCTCTCTCCAGGTGAAGATGGCATATTATTTAAGCTCTCAGAAGAATGTCATTCTAATACATATACAAATTATGCCCTTGATCATCATGACAACACAGAAATTTTAATATATTTTACATGCATATCAGCAATATGTGTTACACAAAAGATATGATGTAACAAATTGAAAGGCTCAATAAAAGCTCCTTATGAACGAGATGTAACAAACAAATATTGTAATCTATAGTCAAACAGATGTGACCCAATGACACCTCACCACCCAGCTAAGTCTCCCCGGCGGCTGGACTGTATAGAACTGTTTCACGTCCTATGTTTAATAAAAGATTGGATCACTTGTTTTAATATGAATTTACACATTTTAGTGTGGTGGTGTGACTACCCCACACGAGTTGCAGACGCGGGGCTCGGAGCAGTGCAAACAACTCGTCTCAAACTAGGGAATGAGCGGTTAGCAAACTATAGCAACCCGGTAATACCTGTAGTGAGAGGTGCACCGGGCGGCCAAAACGGAAGACTGGATGATGTCGGTATAATAAATGCCCGGTGGAGTTATGTTCTTTCGGTTTGTGCAGTGTGCAGTGAATAGGACCAACCATAACACCACCAGATGTGTTTTCTAAGTAAGGAAGTGCTTACAAGACCAGGAGGTGAACAGCCGGAGAATGCCTAGAATTCTATAGCTTGAATGTTGTACGTAGTGTCCCATTCTACCTCTATGCTATTAAGCGTCTATTTTTAAGGTTGGCTGCTGCACAAAAGTGACGGGTATGGTATGACAAGAAAATTTAGTTATTTTATAAAGCAGAGTTTGAGTTGAGGCGGAACAACCAGAAAATGTTCCAAGTTGTTATTATTTTCCTATTTTACCAAAGTGTTCCTGTCGTTTAACAACTCAATCAGATACGTCCAGGATGCGTAGTGGATCAGTGGACAAGTTGTCTGTTTAGTTTGGGTGACAGCGGTCGAGCCTAACGAGAGCGCTGGACCTTTATTTACATTTATCATTTGTACGGCGATTCTTCTTTATCTTATGTTAATGTATAGAACTTATTATCAACTTATGTCTTTGTAATATATCAGCGGCAACTGGTGAAACACATCAAGTCCACGATAGATCCTGATATTGCATAATTAATGGAGGCGTTTAACAAGAACCAACCCACACACACACACACACACACACACACACACACACACACACACACACACACACACACACACACACACACACACACACACACACACACACACACGTCATCTCACACTTCCTCACCCATCTGGGGAGGTGGGAATGGTACTGTACTTTAAGCAACATTTTCACCAATAGTCTTTCAGGAATTTAGGCCATTTTGCCCAAATACTCAGGTCCGTAAAATAAAAATAAATATATAAAATCACTAATACTCGACAGTCTTTAATGATGAGTTTTGTGTGTTGACAGTAAACATTAATACTGTTGCAACTATGATGTTTACATGCTCTGTCTGTCTGTCTGTCTGTCTGCCTGTCTGTCTGTCTGTCTGTCTGTCTGCCTGTCTGTCTGTCTGTCTGTCTCTTTATTTGTTTGTTTTTCAGTCTGCTTATTTTATATGTTTGTGTGTCTGTCTTTCTGTTTGTCTTTCTGTTCTTACAAACACCTAGACAGAGAAACACACACCGTATAAACACTCACACCTGTACAAACACACTTACACGTCTACATACACCTCTACATCCACTCACCTACTCAGACACCTACACACTGTGATAGACTGCATAAGACTGTGACAGACTGTAATAGATTGTTGTAGACTTTGGTAAATTACAATAGACTGTGATAGACTATCGTAGACTGGTAGATTACAATAGACTGTGATAGACTATGATAGATTGTGGTAGACTGTAATACTCGTAGACTGTGAAATACTGTAATAGACTGTGGTAAATTATGGTGGACTGTGGTAGTGCTGCTGGTTATATATCACTGAATATACTATGTTCGTTTGTCATAAAAGCAAACACACACACACACACACACACACACACACACACACACACACACACACACACACACACACACACACTACTACTACTACTGTTGTCACTGAATCGAGTATGACGATCATCCAGCTATGATACAATGATATGAGTTATTAGGATGTCACCTAGGTTGGTGATGAGAGGTGAATAAAGAGACCGATACAGGACCCGCAGAGTCGTTCACATTCGCACATGTGGATGGCTGCATCTAGTGAGGGGGGTGGCAGCAGCTTTCCGGCGTTGGCGCTTGTCTGCCTCGGTTTGCAGTCGGGCTATCTCGAAAGTATTGACACCTTATCGTGGTGCTCCTCCAAGCGTTACGACGTGGAGTAATCGTCTCCCAGGTGAGGGGTCGATTTGGCACCTTTTAGGTTTGTCTTAGACTATCCTTATACCTTTTCAATGCCCAGCCAGCGTTACGTTTACTATTCGTTAGGTGACTGTAAAGTAGCTGCTGGCAGTCTACTGTCGTCCATGCAGGTAACATGGCCAGTCCAACGTAGTTGTTCATGGATAATGGTACTCGATGCTCCTACAGTTGGTGTCAGCGAGAATACTGACATTTGTTCTCTTGTCTTCCTACCGAACACGGGGATGGAACGTCGACTACGTTGGAGAAAGTTTTCATGTGCCTTGAAATGTCTCCTGTATGTAACCCATGTCTCACTGCCATATAGCAGGGGGGGAGGACTACTACTCGATATACGTGCAGCTTTGTGGATAATTTCACTTCCTACAGCTGAAGACACGGTTTCGAGTCTGCCAAAGGCTTGAGATGCACATCTGTTCCGATGCTGAATCTCTTCATCGATGTCTGCGGTGGACAGGTGGGATCCGAGATACCGAAAGTAAATATGAAAGAGGGTAGTACCAAAGTTTATGAGAAGATGGATCAGGCATTCACATGTAATGGTTAACACACGAAAGAACGCACAAATTTGGTAGTGCGGCGGATAGATGTCGCTAGTGTTGAGCGCGTCATCTGCAAGTTTACACATTGAATATGACAATCGGAATCCGCACACGAACGCAATAACAAATGAATAATCTTATCAACATGACCAGTAAAGGACATCCGTGCATAATCTGCAAACGGAAAAGGTTACACATCCCGATTTCGTATATC